AATGAAGAATTACGCAATCCATCAATTAAAATGGCAAGACAATATTAGAATCAGTAAAAAAATAAATTAAAATCAATCAATTATTCTTTAAAATTGAGCAATCATTTGACAATTATGTTAAACAATTAATGACCATGTTTTGCAAACCTTATAAATAGATGAAAAAATAAGTACTAAAACTTCATTCAGTCAGCAAAAAAAAAAACAACAATTCATCCAAATTCTCATTTCAATGGCTTTTATGTTTGATAATAGAAACTTCTTGGCAAAAAAAAAAGAACAAAACGGTCAAATTGAGGGCTTTTATGTTTGACGGGCGTTGTCTACATCTTTGAGATCCAAGGGCCAAAAAATGTTGAATGTTGCATCCAGTGGTATCGTTTCACTTTTGCATCCTGGCGGACGCACTACGCATTCTTGATTTGGAATCCCTATTAACCCAACGAAAATTCCTTCGTGTGATATTAGCCAGCAAAGTCATTTGACAGAATTGATTATACGGTGTCAGTTGATCATTTAGGATAAAGCACCGACGATGAGTAAGTATTGCTTCCAGGTGGTCGACTCTACCTTGCGAGCTTTAATGGAGATAGTGGATTCATCTAGAAAAAATCTCCCATTTGGTGGCTAGTCTATTGTACTTGGTGCCGATTTCAGACAGATACTCCTTGTTGTCCCTAAGACCCTCGGAGTGGCATCGTGGATGTCACCATCAGTTCATTCAATTTTGGCGGGATTGTGTCATTTTAAGGCTTACTTGGAATATGAGGTTTCGAAGCCTTAGTGGGGGTGACGAGTAATGAGTTAAAGCGCTTCTCAGAGTGACTTGCAAGCATTAACGACGGTACAATCGGTGGATCGAACGACTCATGTGCCGATATTGACATTCCTGGCGATATTTTTTTTTGAAATCATAAGGGGATCCTATTACTGCTATTGTTGAAAGTACGTACCCCATGTTCAGGAGTTCGGGTGATGATACTAGCTATCTCAAGGACAGAGTCATACTTGCTTTGACACTTAATGTTATTGAGTCTGTTAACGAGTACATTAGCTCATTGAACTCCACCGAGGGAATGACTTATTTGAAATCTAACACCGCTATAGATATGACTCTCTTCACGATCTTCATACTCCTTAATTTCTCAATGGGATTAAGTGCTCGGGGATTCCGAATCATAAATTGCACTTGAATGTCGGCACTCCAATGATGTTGCTCAGAAACATTGATCACTCCATAGAGTTGTGCAACGGTATTGTTGATAAAAATTCTATCTATCATTTATATTTTTTTTTAATTCGTGTACAAATTCGATTGATATGTTTTTTTTGCCCCAATTCTGGAATCATCAGGTCCTCGATTGGTTATTATTAAGCTCAGCAGTCATGTACTCGAATGCGAAATTGTAACTGGTGCCAGAGCTGGTGATAACCCTTATTCATAGGCTCACAATCATACCATCCGATTTGATGATATATTTCAAGTTTTAGCGCAGACAATTCCCGCTCATGGTTTCCTATGCTATGACAATCAATAAGAGTCAAGGTCAGTCTCTGTCGCACGTCGGCTTACTACTAAATAGCTCTGTATTTAGCAGTGTTTTTCAACCCGGACCGGACCGGCGGGTCGACCCGGGACCCGGAGCCAGAACCGGTCCGGGTGTGCTAATTAGACCGGATAACAAATGAACCGGTCAAACCCGGTCAAAACCCGGTCAACCCGGCCTTGACCCGGTCGACCCGGGGCATTGACCCTGCCGGGTCAACCCGGTTGACCCGGTCCCTACATATATTTTAATTTTTTTTTTTTTTTTTAAAATAAAACTATGCATATATATATTTATATGGTAAATATTTATTATTAAAAAAATATTATTATCACTTTAATATACAAATTTTACATACAAAACATTTAATTTTGTTATTTTATGTATATTTATATGACAAAATACTATATATATATAATTTTAAAAATTTTAAAATTAATTATCCGGTTCAGCAATTGACCCGGTGACCCGGCGGTTGAACCGGTGACCCGGTGACCCGGAGACCTTCCCGGGTCAATCACCGGGCCGGGTTTAAAAACTATGGTATTTAGTCATGAACAATTGTATGTGGCATTTTCCAAAATTATAAGACGGAGGGGTTTGAATCAGTGTTTTTCAACCCGGACCGGCCCGGCGGGTCGACCCGGGACCCGGTCGACCCGGAGCCAGAACCGGTCCGAGTGTGCTAATTAGACCGAATAACAAATAAACCGGTCAAACCCGGTCAAAACCCGGTCAACCCGGCCTTGACCCGGGCGACCCGGGGCATTGACCCGGTCGGGTCAACCCGGTTGACCCGGTCCCTACATATATTTTAAATTTTTTTATTTTTTTTTTTATTTTTAAAAATAAAACTATGTATATATATTTATATGGTAAATATTTATTATTAAAAAATTATTATTATAACTTTAATATACAAATTTTACATACAAAACATTTAATTTTGTTATTTTATGTATATTTATATGACAAAATACTATATATATATAATTTTAAAAATTTTAAAATTAATTATC